TTCGGTAAGTCACATTCGTGAAAAGGGAAGGGTATTGTAGTTACGACATAAGGAACATACCCGATATCATCTGTGAAACGGTTATTCCATAACGGTCAACCAACTCGTGATGGCGTCCGTAAAATTTACGAAGGGATGATTTCAACTTCACCATTTGGAACTCTTGACTCAATAGCTTCCTTGTGAGAAGCAATCCTCTATCAAGGAAATCATAATAGGAAACACAAGCCCGGGAATCATCTTATTTTGTTGTATGTGTCTTACTTATGACAACTGCGATACAATGATTTATGTAATCCAAACGAATTTTGTTGACCTCTATAAGTTGTATTTCAATAAAAAGGATAAAGTAACGTAAGTTTAAAACTTCAATTGATATCAAATTTCTTTTGTTTTTGGACTAGTATTTTTATCTGTCATTCCCGTTAAGCAAACCACGAACTACAATCTCTTATCGACCACACCTTCTGAAATACACTTGAAATAGCAAATTTGTGTATCTATAAATTTTATCATCAATGCAAAACATTTTCTTTTATTGTCTCATATTTTAATGAAAAGTATATTAGTTCTCACAGTATCGTTGTCTTGTTGTCGACTCGCAAACTAATTTCACTCGGCAGATATAGATGTGTCCCGATTCTCAATTAAAAATTTGGTGACATATTTGTCTATTGAATATCTTAATAACTTATCGTTTAATTTAGTGCTTACTATACCGCGTGGTCATTTGTTCATCCTCGGAGGCCAAATAGTCACGTCTTGATGTCTTTTGTGTTCTTGTTAACTCTGGTTTTAGTCTTTTGAGTATCTGATTGAAAAAATATGCTGAAGCAATTTTTTTCATTATAAATTATTATGTTATTAAGTTTACAATTATTTTTAAAAAATGAGCACGGCCATTCTTACTTTTAAAAGAATTCAGACAAATGGGATCTGTGGGAAGTGCCCCTGATGAAACTAATTGTTTTGTGTTATATTAAACTGTAATCTTACGTTTAATTGTAGCTCTCATGTGCTAGAATTTACATTTTTATTATTGCTACCCACATTTAACTAAATCATATGCTAAACATACAAATAAGTCGCGTAAAGTCATCATATTCTAATCTTATGATTTCCTCCTTTAAAATGTTTTATACTGTGTTAGGTTGTTCCAATACGGCAAACATGTACTAATGTTCAGATGGAGAGTTGTCTCATTGGCACTCATACCACATCTTCTTATTTCTACTAACTAATGTTCATGTATGACAGAATTGTCTTAACATTCTATTTTTACCCTGCTTCCTATAATGAAATATAGTTTCTGTCATTATCCCAACCTCCAAATATGTTTTATGCGTTTTTAGCAAAGCTGTGCGTGACTTTTTCCATCATTCAAACACGCCCTGTAACATCGTTCTGGGCAGCGAGCAACACATAATTGGTTTGAACATATGTTTGGACGTTATGTGAGTGCAACAGCTTTTCATTTGTCTTCTTTTCAAGTTGATAGAAGTATATGTATAAGTATGCATTCCTGTATCCTTATATATTTTAAAAGTTGCGTTCACTATCCTGAAATGCAATTAATAAACCTATATAACCATCGCTTTGATATGGATTTTGCATTCAAAATGACCAATAATACTTAGCCTGCTTGACTGAGTAATTTAAACAACAATATATCGCATATTTTACAAAGTTCTATTTCAGATTGATCTGCAAAAGCGAGTTGTAATGTCTAATGAATTTTAGATTTTTTATTAAATTGTTTTATGTCTTCAGAATTAGTTAAACAGCACAATGTTTCTATCGTGATTTCTGTCGTAACGCATTTATTTTCAAATAAACCGAAGCAATGGAATTATTTGCTTTTTTTTTATCATATAAGAGTTTATTCTTGATCTTTAACTGTCAATCTTTTTTTAGTATAAAGTAAAGTCAATGATAGTTTGATGATTCACAGTTAGTGCATATGATTGCCTGAAGAAATATTGCACTTTGTTTGATCACCGCCGTTTAATGGTAAAAACGTTATTAACATGTAAGCGCTGTGGATAAATTGAAATATATAAAATTTATCAAAAGATAGTATTGTAAAATACAACAAAAAGTAAAATAACAAAAACACTGAACTTCAAGGAAAATTCAAAAGGGAAAGTCCCTTATCAAATGCAAAAACAGTAAAAGAAATATAAACAAGGCTAGTAATTATATATATATAAACTAACGCAAATTTGAAGATCTAACATTGTTGGGCTAAATTTGAGACGAGTTATATATATATATATATATTATGTAGTTAGCCATGTATAACCACGCGTTATCCGATGGAGAATGTCTGTCATAAAGTTGTCACATGTTAAGACGTGTATAATAAAATTAAAATTTGATGTGGCGGCATGGTAATTTACATTATCATCCTTTACGACAGACAAAATAGCTGATCTGAAAGGAACAACATCTACTTTCCACTATACATCATGTACTGTGTTACAACCCTAGATAAAGCCGACGAAGAAAGGCATTACATCGACCACCGAAAGCTGTATATTTATGTAACCTAGGTGTTTGAGTGGTCTAGGGCGCTGGAAACGGTGCAGGCGGTTTTGCAACGATGTCATAGAAGCAAGGGTTCGAATCTCGCTGAGGGAAGAACAAACATTTGCTAACGCAAATTTGAAGATCTAACATTGTTGAGCTAAATTGAGACGAGTTATAAATATATATTATGGTGTTAGCCCTGTATAACCACGTGTTATCCGATGGATAATGCCTGTCATAACGTTGTCACATGTTTAGGCGTGTGTATATATATATATATATATATATATATATATATGTCTGTCATAAAGTTGTCACATGTTTAGACGTGTATAATAAAATCAAAATTGGATGTGGCGGCATTGTTATTAGCATTATCATCCTTTACGACAGACAAAATAGCTGATCTGAAAGGTACACCATCTACTTGCCACTATACCTCATGTACTGTGTTAGAACCCTAGATAAAGTCGACGAGGAAAGCCATTACATCGACCATCGAAAACTATATTTTTATGTAGCCTAGGTGGTCGAGTGGTCTAAAGCGCTGGACACGGTGCAGACGGTTTTGCCACGATGTCACAGACACAAGGGTTCGAATCCCGCTGAGGGAAAAACAAAAACTTGCTTCCGCAAATTTGCAGATTGAACATTGTTGTGCTGATATTTAGAGTAATTATGAATATAATATGTGTTTTCAGCCTGGCATCACCTTCATTGGTGATCCAATGATGGATCTGTCGTAGAGTTGTCACTTGTTTGGACGTACTTATCATGTATATATTTCTGAGACTGCATCTGACGATCCTCTACGATAGATAATTTAGCTTATCTGCAATCAATTCCATCTTCATGCCTAATATCTCATGTACTGTGTTACAACTCTAGATTCTAATGACGAGGAAAGGTAACACTAGGCCACCGAAAGCTGATTTTTTTTAGTTCAGTATAGTTGGCCTAGTGGTCTAGAGCGCTGGGCACAGTGCAGGCGGTGTTGTCTCGATATCCCAATAACATATGTTCGAATCCCGGCGAGGGAACAACTAAAATTTGCTTCCGCGAATTTGCAGATTTAACATTGTTGTGCTGATATTTAGAGTAATTATGTACATATATAGATACACTCATAAGGACATACACCCCGTTGGGTTTATCTAAATAATACCCTGATATTATGATTAATGTCGATGAGTTAAACAAATAGCCAATAAACAAATTGAAAATCAAGTTTGACTGTTGGTTAACATTGGGGTTAAACTGTACAAGACAAGTAAAACATGGAAATCAATAGATATGGACAACACACTAGCACTATATTATAAAAGTTTTGTGCTTCGGAGATTAGTTACTTTCTGGTATTGAAATATATATTATTTTTATATCTTATCATACAAGTTAAACTTAATAATCCTCCTAAATTCACTTGCATTCACAATAGTAAAACTGAGAATGGAAATGGGGAATGTGTCAAAGAGACAACAACCCGACCAAAGAGCAGAAAACAGCCCAAGGCTTCCATTGGGTCTTCAATTCACAGCGAAAAAAATCCCACACCCGGAGGCGGGTTTCAGCTGGCCCCTAAACTAAAAAAGTGCATACTCTTTAAAATAATCGAAAGATCAACACCATTTAAAAACAGTTTATTTTACGAAAAATCGAATAATTACCCGAATTATGAGTATTTCTCCTGATTATAAGAAAATAATCTCCTTAATTGGGATCACATATTTTTTATTGTTTTAAAGGAAGTGAAAAGTGTGTATTTGGCTTAAGAAAAGGAAAACGGTTTTCATTTAGCTAAACACATTTTCTTATCATTTACTGTCGACCTTTTGAAAAGTCTTCATACAATAACGAATTCCTTCACGATTTGAAAAACGGTATGATTCAAATGATTGTTGGATGCCTTATTATTATTATTATTATTATCATTATTATTAACATTATCATTATCATTATTTTTATCATTATTATTTTTATTATTATTATTATTATTATCATCGTTATTATTATTATCATTATTATTGTTGTTGTTTAAAAGAATAAGCACTTTGAACAAATACATTTATTTCATCATAAATAATATTGATAATAATGGAATAGATAAAATATTGCAAAAATATTAAATTAGAGTTATTACTATTTTCTTATTATCATAATGATCCATTAATAATAATTATTATCATTATCATAGAAATAATAATAATTATTATTTTTATAATAATAATAATAATCATAATAATAATCATAATAATCATAATGATAATAATAATACTAAGACAAGAAAAATGTTACAATAATAATAATAATAATAATAATAATAATATTATAATAAAAAATTAATAACAATAACAATAATTATTATAATCATTATAATTATTATAATAATTATTATTATTTTTCTTATTATTATTAAAAATATTATTACTATTATTATTATAAAAATCATTTACACATACTTCAATCTTTAAACAGGTAGTTAATGTGTCTATGCTTTTTTGTTTTCGTTTCAGTTCTACCGATGATTCATGGTCACCATATAAACAATTACACAACTCAACTGAGAGAAGGAATTCACATTATGTTAAAAGTTGAATCTTATCCGGTACCGTCAGTGTCGTGGGCAAAATCGGCAGGAGGTAAACTTGGTGTCTGGAATATATCAAGAAACAATGATTTTCCTTTGTTCAGCAGTATGTATTGTTTAGAATCAAGCATACAACCAACCAGAGAAGAGCATTTTGGACTTTATATGGCGGCTATAAGAAACAAAATTGGTAGTATAGAAGTATTTATTCAGTTACAAGTTGACCGTATGTATTATTCAAACCTTTATTTGGATGAAAATATTTTATAAAGATAATTCGAATTACTAACACCATTATAAAGGAACTTTGAATTCAGTATCATAATTTCGGTGAAACACTACTTTAAAGTACAAGACCTGCAAAAGTCAACGATAACACATGTAAAGTTGTTGTATTATCAAGTGATTAAAATGTTTAACTTTCCTCACTTCGACGCCTATGAAATATTTTTTTAGAATAGTCACACAAAAGAAGCTTGAACTGCAAACTTAAGGTATTTGCTGTTTTGTATAGTAATAGACCATGGTATTTAGTGTAAATAGCAAAAATGCAATCTGTGCACTGTGTAGGTTGTTTAATACCTTCACCGTATTGTATTAATTGTACAACCGATGAAAGGTTTTGGAATTTATAACATAAGGCATACATAATAAGTTAAACATTTTAATCACTTGATAATACAACAACTTTACATGTATTATCGTTTACCTTTGCAAGTCTTGTGACTTTGAGATGAAGAATAGCAACATAAGCGCTGTTCCTTTGCTTTTTGTGTTTTTTGTGCTGTGCATATACTGATTTTACGTCATGGATGGTTACCTCATATCCTTTGTTTTTCCTTTATACAATCTGCTGTCTTGCATATTGCAAGCAAGTAAAAAGTAATTTTTTTTCTCTTTAAAACTTTGACTACATTGAGGAAACCATATTAGAGATGAATGAAAAAAACCTGCTTACGGCTGGTTTTTAAATATGTAGAAATACTTCCAGTTCAAGAAACCACCCCGCCAAATTTAAAATGTCAATCTATGATTTATCAGACGAATCGATCCGTCTTGATTATATTCCGTCACATGTTTGTGTATTGTGAAATCGTATTTCATGCTGGCTCGCCGAACATGTTTTTTACCAAATCATGAGAATGTGTTTGTGAAATGTGCAAATAGAATAAATTGCTTAATCTATTTATCTAATTGCGCTAAGTTACAAAAACATGTTTGTCGATAAACTTGCTTAGTGCAACATATATTAATGATAACAATAATTAAAAAAAAAAATAAACGGTATCTCCATCGTTAATATAACAATGAGCGGTCTTTTCAACACCATCGAACACATATCTCCACCGAGGATCCAAAAAGATTATTATTTTTTATGGCGCTGTTTAAAAATGATACAAAACCTTCATTAATACAATATACATGACCATGATGACCACAAAATACAATTGTTTAAAGGTTATTCAGTTAATAGGCTTTTTATATAGTTTCCAAGTTGACGTAAAATTAGATAATATTGTTGTGAACGTATGCAATTATCGGTAACAGAAAGCCACATAAAGCATTCTTACCATATACAGCATTTTTGTCACATTCAGACAGAAACAATCTTTACTTTTCTTGCAATTATTAAACCATTCGCGAAGCAGTCCACAATCTATTTCAAACGGAACATCGGGTTCGATGGACTTGTTTTCTTTTTGTTTTTGCTAAACGCAGAAAACGTCATTTATCAATGTTTTAGATAGAAATTATGTCTTCGGCCCAATCTAATCTAATCTAATCAATGTGTGTTGATAGAACAGAACAAAGTTAACATACGTTAATCAAGGCACACTAACAATAATCACAAATGTTCCATTTCATTGGTTAAGTAGTAACAGAGAGGATGATGAAGAACAGCTGAAAGTCAAAATTCACAAAAGAGAGGCGAAAATTACCAAAGGGATATTTACAGTCATAAGTCGAAATATAAAACTGACAATGCCATGGCAAAAAACAAAAACGACAAAAAGACAAACAACAGTACACAAAAAACAATGTGAAAAAGTAGAAAAACTAAAAAATGAGCAACACGAACAATACCAAAAACCGGGATTGATCTCAGGTGCACAAGAAGGGTAGGCATATTCTGCTCCACTTGTGACACCAGTCGTGTTCCTCATGAAAGTACAAACCGATGATAAGTCTATATCGTTAAGTGACACTTCAGAAAAAGAGGACGGGATAGTGGTTTCGCCAATTGGAACATATTCGTCGTCATTTGTAAAACAGATATTCTATAATGGTCAACCAACTCGTGATGGTATCCGAAAAAGTTTCGTGGGATGATTTCAACTTCATCACTTTGAATTCTTGTTTCAATAACTTCCATGTAAGCAGAAACCCTCTATCAACGAGTTCATGACATGAAATGCAAGATCTGGTATATAGTATCAACTGGAGGATATATAATCCCTAAACAGTCGCTGTTGGAATGTTGCTACATAGGAATGGAAGGTTAACAATTGGGAAGCTGAAATCTTTTATTTTGTCTTAAAGTTTTGTTCTCAACCCACCATATTTGTCAATTTCTTGATGTAAGTCAAAATATGAGGCAGACGTAACTGTATCTGTTATATCCTTTATTTCAAGTTCGACAAGATAGATGCGTTCAACTAGTCATCAAGCTTTGAATTATGTAGTGAGAAGACATCATCTATGAAGCGGGACGTGAAGTTAAAGGATAATGCTAGTTTTTCTTACTTTTTCTGAGACGCTCCAGTATGAGATCAGCCTCATACAAATAATCTGCTCTTAAGCCAACATAGTTAAAACGATTAATCACAATTTATCTTTTTTATTATTCATGCCATTTAAAATCATATACTGTTATTTATCTTCAGTTCTTGTGTTACCACAAGATAGGTTGTTTAAATAAAACATGTTATAGCTATGGGGACAGTCCTAAACTTATTCATGTTGTTGATTAATTAAGAGTGGCTACATTTCTTTTTTAATTGGAAATCATGTACTCTTATTTAGGCGAATAACATTTTTCAAAAAAACGTTTAGTTAACTACTTGCGCCCACCTAATATACATGTCACGCTATATTATAGATCATTTGAAAGCTTTTTTGTCTGTTCTTGCTGATATGTCCGGTCGTCAATATTTCGTACGGTGCAATTTTCGTTACATCAAGGTCAACTGTGTGAGCTGTTTAATTAGCTAGAAACGTCATATTGAAGTAATTTGATGATGTCAAAAACTTGCATAACGCCAAATAACAATACGGTAGGTTTTAAGGTGATAAAACTGTTGAATACTTTGGTTTTTACTCATTTTTATCATTTTAACCGGAATTTTTTGGAAAAAGCGCTATTTACTTTATAATGTAAATATGTCACTACTATTTTAAAGTGAGTTTCATACCTCTGTTCTAAATGTTCTTTATATTTCCGTACATCATCCTATTATTCTGACGTCAGAATATGCAAAAATGCTGACATCTTATAAATCAAGAAATGGTCCGTCCTATTCCTTTCATTGTGATTTGACGGACATTACACGGTACTAATAATTGACGACCGGACAAAAAAGGTAGTACAGATAATACACTTTTGAATGGTATATGATTTAGCCGTATGTTCAATGGTGCATTAAAAATGAAATTGTAATGTTAATATCAGTCTTTTATATTGGAAATCAGCACTCTTGATTTCAATGAGTTGGTTGTTGGTTGGAAAATGTGAATAATATATGAGCAAATATACCTATACGTTTTGTTCATAATCATTCAAGTTCGTAGTATAATAAAATACATTTGTGATTGTTTTTTTTATAAAGTTTATTTTTTTTCTAAGGATATGGTGTCACAGTAGAGCCAAGGCAGACAATATGTGTTGCTTCGTCCTCCATATATATTACATGTAGTAATTTAAATGTGGATAACAGGACCTGGGATATAATCTGGAAACATTACTTTCACGGTGAACTTGTACAAACATTTAAAGGAGAACTGCACAACCAGATAGCTATGTTAAGCATAAGTCATTGTGATTATAGAGACGGGGGTAAATATGTTTGTGAGTGGATGTCAGATGATACGACCTTGTCTGGATGGTCATCTGTGGCTATTCTTGGTAAGACATCTTTGTCAATGCATATAAGCAATATTCCCATTTAATAAATGAATTGCTCTTGAGTGGCGGAAGTTTAAGATGTTGATAAATTCATTCAACTTTGTTATTACAAAACACTAGACTATCGGATAAAGCTAGTAAAGAATTTTTACTAGCAGTATATTCATTTTGTTTAAATTTCGCCCAAATCTTAATAAAATATTCGTATCATTGTCCCTTTTTCTTATTAAACAGTTGCAACAAGAAGAGCGAGTTAGCGAAATGAAATAATAGTCTCGACTTTAAATTAACCTAAATATGATTTTAGAAAAAATCATCAATGAAACTAGGCTTATAAGCGATGGTCGGGGTTTTGCAGGAAACCACAAACCATCTCCCTACTCGCTTTCTGAGAGATAGGTTGTAGGCAAAACAGTTTCATCTACCAAGACAAACAGTCATATGCTGCTACCGATTTAAAACAATAGAGATAAATATAGACAACAGTAGAAGAAGACAAATACATCATGTCAAAGCAACATACGGAAACTGAGAGAATTACATGAACTCCAAAAGGAGCGGAAACAGCTGCTTCAACATGGAAATTGTCTCCTGCTATGTATGCACAATCTGCGATGCTAATTCACTCAGTCAAAATGTCACAGTTGGGAACAGGACATGATTTGCACATCAACAAATCAGACGTCTACTATAGTATTTAACGAGCTAAGACTGCGTAAAAACGTCACTAGGGAGTTGAGCCACAAACGTAAAGAAATCGTGATTGTGACCGCGTACAACTTACGTAGTGTCAATTTCAGTCGTTCTTCCTCGTTACAGTTTTTCAGTACTACCTAAGAAGTACGTGTATCGTGAACATGCACGAGCTTTTCGTATCAAGTGAGATTTGTTAGCGCCAAGTGTATGGTTAAGCAGAGGTTATGTTACTGCTGAAAAATGGAAAGTTGACAATTGGAAAGTTGTTTTCATCATGTTTTTTATATTCTAGTTTGAAGTCTCAATCTGTGAAAATCTTAAGGAAAAGAACAAGATATAAACATGATAAATCAGACTTTTTCTATAATATCCCTAATTTCAAGTTCATTGGGATATATGATATCCATGTATTCACTGAAATAGGAATTATTGAGTGCCAGGATACATCAATATATTAGCAATTTAGGAATTAGCAAGATGTTTTTTTTTCTTTTTGTCTTTAAAAAAGTTTTAAAAGGATGCCTCGTATCTTATAGGTCAGCTGTCACCAGATATACAGTAATAATACCAAATTTAGAATTTAAATAGAGTTGAAAGTATACGCTTACACAATTTCAATCCTTGGATCTATGATGAGTTTACTTATACTCTTTTTCATAGCATATGTAAAATGAACGAACTAGCTATTCCAAGAAACGTTTCACACAACTTTACTGCAAGCGAATGACTTAAAGTATGATACTGATTCTGAAAGAACGACATGTGCATGATGTGTTTCTGCAAAAAATTTTATTAAGTGTGTTTGAGACAAAAAGTATAATGATGATGGATGTCAAAAAGTGGTTTGAATGATGAGGAAAACAACAGGAACTTTCAAGAAAATCACATTTCAAAACTAGAAATAAATAATTGAATCTAAATGAATAAAGCTATCGCGCGGATTCACACAAACGCGCACATTTACTAGCATTCCCCCTGGTAACTTATGCTATGTTAAAGCAAATTACCGCGTGTGTAATAAATTTGAGATTTGTTTTTATACGCCCGTCAAAATTTTTGACGGGACGTATTATGGTATACAAATGTCCGGCGTCCGTCCGTCCGTCTGTCTGTCCGGCGTAAACATGTCGCACCGTAACTTGAGAATGACTTATCCAAATTTCATGAAACTTAACATAGTTGTTTCTTATGATGGTCAAACGATCTGTATACTTTTTGGTGAAAATAAGATTAAAACTTTTTGAGTTACGGGACTTAGTAACTAAAACAGGTGTGTGTTTTTTTTTCACATGTCGCGCCGTATCTCAAAAAACAATTTATGATTATTGCTTAAAACTTTACACACTTCTTAGTTATATTAATCTTAAGATCTGTATACTTTTTGGTGATGATTCAAAATTTTATTTTAGAGATATTGAGTATTTTGTTAAAAAAGGGGGAGGGGTTTTTCACATGTCGCGCCGTATCTCAAAAACAGTTTCTGATTATTGCTTAAAACTTTACACACTTCTTAGTTATATAAACCTTAAGATCTGTATACTTTTTGGTGATGATTCAAAATTTTATTTTTGAGTTATTGAGTTATTTGTAAAAAAAGGGGAGGGGTTTTTCACATGACGCGCCGTATCTCAAAAACGATTTATGATTATTGCTTAAAACTTTACACACTTCTTAGATATATTAACCTTAAAATCTGTATACTTTTTGGTGATGATTCAAAATTTTATTTTTGAGTTATTGAGTATTTTGTAAAAAAAAAGGGGGAGGGTTTTTTCACATGTCGCGCCGTATCTCAAAAACGATTTATGATTATTGCTTAAAATTTTACACACTTCTTAGTTATATTAATCTAAAGATCTGTATACTTTTTGGTTTTGATTCAAAATTTTATTTTTGAGATATTGTTTTTTTTTTCTAAAGGGGGGTTTCCACATGTCGCGCCGTATCTCAAAAACGATTTATGATTATTGCTTAAAATTTTACACACTTCTTAGTCATATTAATCTAAAGACCTGTATACTTTTTGATTTTGATTCAAAATTTCATTTTAGAGATATTGAGTTTTTTGTAAAAAAAAAAGGGGGTTTTCGCATGTCATGCCGTATGTCAGAAACTATTTATGCTTATTGCATAAAAATTCACACTGAAGACGACGGGCGTATCATGCGCTCATGGCGCAGCTGTTTATTATTTTTCTGGCGCATGCAAGTAAATTGTAACACCAAAGCTAAATTTTGTAATTATTATATTAATTAATACATTATCATTAACTCTGAGTATTACTATTTCCATCTTATCATTTCTCCTTGCGGTAACTATATATCTGTACTCTTATATAGGGATTATCGAACAAGTGCTGAAATAGCATTACAAATCGGAATCTGTCCATCATCGGCAACAAAAAAGTTATCTCATTTAGCCACCAAGGAATAACTGCACAATCTTTATCGTCATGTGAAAAAACGAATTGTTGTAACTGTTGCCTGACACCTGTAAAAAATTGAAAACAACACGTTTAATAATTCCATGCGTCCGAAGCGCTTTTCTGGATTTACCTTCATCAGGAACGCTCAAAGCCAAACATTTGAAATCCGAGGGACGCATAAGTACCGAAACAGTTGAAGAGCTATATGACAAAAATACCTAAAACAAATAGCCAAATTCATCTAAGGTCAACTTTGCCTGAGGGAGTTGAAACCTTAGTTTCTTTATAATTTCAAAATTTATAAACAGACAATTTTAGAAAGGTTTGTTATAAATCATGTCAGTACCGAAGTACTGACTACTGAGCTGATGATACCCTCGGGGACTGATAGTCCACAAGCAGAGGTATCGACCCAGTGATGTAAAAAAATGAAAACAACACGTTTAATAATTTCATGCGTCCGAAGCGCTTTTCTGGATTTACCTTCATCAGGAACGCTCAAAGCCAAACATTTGAAACCCGAGGGATGTATAAGTACCGAAACAGTTGAAGAGCTATATGACAAAAATACCTAAAACAAATAGCCAAATTCATCTAAGGTCAACTTTGCCTGAGGAAGTTGAAACCTTAGTTTCTTTATAATTTCAAAATTTATAAACAGACAATTTTAGAGAGGTTTGTTATAAATCATGTCAGTACCGAAGAACTGATTACTGAGCTGATGATACCCTCGGGGACTGATAGTCTACCAGCAGAGGTATCGACCCAGCGATGTCAAAAAATTGAAAACAACACGTTTGATAACTTCATGCGTCCGAAGCGCTTTTCTGGATTTACCTTCATCAGGAACGCTCAAAGCCAAACATTTGAAATCCGCGGGATGTATAAGTACCGAAAAAGTTGAAGAGCTATATGACAATAATACCTAAAACAAATAGCCAAATTCATCTAAGGTCAACTTTGCCTGAGGGAGTTGAAACCTTAGTTTCTTTATAAGTTCAAAATTTATAAACAGACAATTTTAGAAAGGTTTGTTATAAATCATGTCAGTACCGAAGTACTGACTACTGAGCTGATGATACCCTCGGGGACTGATAGTCCACAAGCAGAGGTATCGACCCAGTGATGTAAAAAAAATAAAACAACACGTTTAATAATTTCATGCGTCCGAAGCGCTTTTCTGGATTTACCTTCATCAGGAACGCTCAAAGCAAAACATTTGAAACCCGAGGGATGTATAAGTACCGAAACAGTTGAAGAGGTATATGACAAAAATACCTAAAACAAATAGCCAAATTCATCTAAGGTCAACTTTGCCTGAGGGAGTTGAAACCTTAGTTTCTTTTTAATTTCAAAATTTATAAACAGACAATTTTAGAGAGGTTTGTTATAAATCATGTCAGTACCGAAGAACTGATTACTGAGCTGATGATACCCTCGGGGACTGATAGTCTACCAGCAGAGGTATCGACCCAGCGATGTCAAAAAATTGAAAACAACACGTTTGATAACTTCATGCGTCCGAAGCGCTTTTCTGGATTTACCTTCATCAGGAACGCTCAAAGCCAAACATTTGAAATCCGAGGGATGTATAAGTACCGAAACAGTTGAAGAGCTATATGACAATAATACCTAAAACAAATAGCCAAATTCATCTAAGGTCAACTTTGCCTGAGGGAGTTGAAACCTTAGTTTCTTTATAATTTCAAAATTTATAAACAGACAATTTTAGAAAGGTTTGTTATAAATCATGTCAGTACCGAAGTACTGACTACTGAGCTGATGATACCCTCGGGGACTGATAGTCCACAAGCAGAGGTATCGACCCAGTGATGTAAAAAAATTGAAAACAACAGGTTTAATAATTTCATGCTTCCGAAGCGCTTTTCTGGATGTACCTTCATCAGGAACGCTCAAAGCCAAACATTTGAAATCCGAGGGATGTATAAGTACCGAAACAGTTGAAGAGCTATATGACAAAAATACCTAAAACAAATAGCCAAATTCATCTAAGGTCAACTTTGCCTGAGGGAGTTGAAACCTCAGTTTCTTTATAATTTCAAAATTTATAAACAGACAATTTTAGAAAGGTTTGTTATAAATCTTATCAGTACCGAGGTACGGACTACTGAGCTCATGATACCCTCCTGGACTGATAGTCCACAAGCAAAGGTATCGACCCAGTGATGTAAAAAATTGAAAACAACACGTTTAATAATTTCATGCGTCCGAAGCGCTTTTCTGGATTTACCTTCATTAGGAACGCTCAAAGCCAAACATTTGCAATCGGAGGGATGTATAAGTACCGAAACAGTTGAAGAGCTATATAACAAAAATACCTAAAACAAATAGCCAAATTCATCTAAGGTCAACTTTGCCTGAGGGAGTTGAAACCTTAGTTTCTTTATAGTTTCAAAATTTATAAACAGACAATTTTAGAAAGGTTTGTTATAAATCATGTCAGTACCGAAGTACTGAATACTGAGCTGATGATACCCTCGGGGACTGATAGTCCACCAACAGAGGTATCGACCCAGTGATGTAAAAAATTGAAAACAACACGTTTAATAATTTCATGCGTCCGAAGCTGTAAAGTGCTCGTATTGCGTACAGTTAAGACATGCTAGAACAGTATTCGTGAACACCAGCAGATCCATGCCAATTTCAAACTTCAAATACAACAACTAAAATAGATAAAAATTACATTTCTACAATCGATGTTTTCAATGCTCTTCGTACTTGAGTTTGCCTTCTAAGTGTTTTTTTTTTTCGATCACCACTGTTTAGTCTTTTGTAAAAGAAACGGCTGTCTGGCGTTCCACATAATTAGTATGTTATGTATGGTGCGTTTTAAAACCATTTCATCGATGCAATACACCTTATCGCTATTTAGTCCAATCCGGAAAAAACAGTCACTGATACAACTTCTTATATCAAGTCTTGCAAAAACAAAGGCCATCAGTAACGAGCTAAGGAAGGAACAAGTTTAGAAAGAAAACATTTGGAAACTTTGATAGACTATGATCCACTTTTTAAAAACACAAATTAAAGTAATAAAAATACTTTGTTTGAAGTGTTTACGATGGTTTAAACATTTCTCTTTGAAAAGTTTTATGCATAATACATTGGTTAAACAGGGCCCCAGATAGCTTCAACTGGATGAAAAAGTTGTGTAATTTTAGAACTTATCCGGATTTAAATAAATAGCGATAAGGTGTATTTCTGGTGGCCTTTCGAACTCGAGAGTATTACCAGTCCGGTATTCAATATTTATGGGCTGACATGAAATAATTGATACTTTTATTTTCTCTACGTCGAGTATTGTTTATGAAATGTTGGTGAATTATTCACTAAACAAACTAAGTATGCTAAGGTTTTTTCCTATCTAGACAAAGGATATGGCACAATTTATTTGAACTTGTTCGTTTAAAGTCAGTTCAAAATTATATTTTATATTATTTATATTTGTCTAGTTATTAATTTGATTTGATGATTAAAGGTTAAGATTGCTATCAATTTGAAGTAATGTGTGTTTGTTTTATAGTCAGGTTTGCCTCCAAATTTTACACTAAATAAATGATTTCATCAAAAGTACACATAAACAAAATAAAAATAACAAAACACAAAGACTTCGATGTAACTTATCCATTTCAAATAGTGTTAAACTTGTAGATTTTGTTGAATGTTTTAGGTCCACCGGTTATTTCTCAGCAAACAGTTTCCTTTCGAGATGAATTAGTTTTCATATCAGTAGACTTCTACTGCGATGATGATGATTTTGAGATCGATTGGTACATAAATGATGTTAAATTGAATGCAAATGACAAAGAATACCAGGTTTTAAGGGAATGGTCAAATATCAGTGTCCAAGTCCATACTCATACGATATATATAAAGGGATTTAAGACAAAATTGTATCTTAACAGAAAGAACATATCTTATATAAATAAGATTAACTGTCAGGTTAGACAAAACTCTTATAGCTCAGAGGTCGTTATTGGTAAAGAGGACTTAGCAGAAAATGTTAACACAGTTATGTCGGACATGACCCAAACAACGATCTACCAAAACGTCACCATTTTCACGATACCGACAGATAATTCCGGTTTGTATATTTAAACAAGTTGAATATCTTATTAACTGTTAGATTAACATAGACAATTGCCTCTATACATAAACGATAATACGCTGGCAACATTCACAATATTACGCACAGTTATTGCAAACAAAACTTATCGTAGCAGTACGCGTGCAACAATTGAGTATACACTTTCAATTTGCCATATAATTGTTGCAAACATGCAATAACATAAGGGATAACCGTGTAGTTATGACATTTCTTAGTTTTTAATTGCAAATTGATATTATCAAATACAATCAAATTTAACTCATAGTAGTATTTTAAAAGTACAAGTATTGAATCATTTATAAAATAAAAATGATCAAATGAAAATGATTTTAAAACATTTTTGTCTTCCAATCAACAAAACAAACCTCTTTTTTCGACAACCATAACCATATACATTTGATGCGCTCTTGCACTTTAAGAATAATTATTCATTTTCCTTCATTTGTTGTCAGATGATAAATATATCGGCGGACATAAGATTCTGTTCAGTTATGTTCTTCAATAAAAATGCATTTTCAAAATTAATTAGTTAACTAAAAATGGCTATCAAATAAACCATAGGAATGATGATTTTGTTTTTAACGTTTATATGTTTGGTTATTAATTCTTTATGGAAGCCCTATTTATATGTTATTTTGGAATAACTCCGGTCAGAAAATAACGTAAGTATAGTAGTATAGTTATATTATTTTTTAATCCATGTAAGTTGTGTGCATTGCCTTTGTTTTAGTACTGTAATGTCAATTTATTAGATATATGATCATCTTATCAAATATTTTTTTTCTAGAAATAGTCATATCTACTTTATACATGTCTATCCCATTGACTACTGCATTCATTTTGATACTGGTAAATGGACTTGTTTATCTGTTTTGGAAATTCAGGAAAGGTAAGTATTTTTAACATGCATATTGGCAACATTTTCTCTTCCAAACAGTAAAATATGTAAATGTGTATGTAGATATAAATGTGCTTAATAGATGGAAATATTCTTTGATTTATTTCAACAAAATTAATTTTTCCATTGAACTGTCGATGCTTATTACCGTATAATTCTAATGGCAGCGTCCATCTGCAAAAAGATTCAAACTTTTAATCAGCTAATTAAACTTAACACCCAAAAATACCCTGAAAAACTGTTCAAGCAACAACAAATAAATAGGTTATCGTATGACCAACAATAACGTGTATATTGTTCGTTTGGCCTTTACTAAGTTCTTAAAAATATATACTCTTTTCGACACATATGTTTTTAACGTTGTGTATGCATAAGAAGAAACACCTAAACTAACGGCAAAATAAGTCATCCGTCATCGCTCCGTTTGGAGTAAATGGAATTTTCTATAAATTTTGAAAAGTTTGTTAGAGGTTTTAAACATCCGCAAACTATTACTTTTTATACTTATATTAAACAGACCTTGAAATAAAACAAATGTTGATCATTAATACAAACGATAACCAATAATATACAAAAAAAATCATTAAAGCAAGAAATAATAATATATATATATCTACTAAAATCTTCTTTTTTTTTATTTTTCTTGACACACAGTTACCATGATGGTTACATTATTTGTTGTATATTTGTCGGAAATTTAAAAAAAAAAGATCTAGCATGGTCCATATTGCGGCTCTTTTGAAAAAACAACAAGCATTTGTCATTGTTCAAAATGAAAAAAAAACAAACAATATTTGGTTATAACACTCTTTTGTGATTGCGTTTTTGTACTCCATTAAGAATATTTCTATAATCTGTTATATGACTGTTTTTTATGCCCGCTAAATTCAGACGTAATAAAGTTTACTGTCAACCCTTAATGCAGCATGTCTACAGCGAAATATTTATAATTTTATAGTTTCAAATCTGAAGACTTGGTATCTTTGACTATTTTCACTTTTACGTTACAGGTTAATGGATGTTTATTCTTCAAAATATTTGCTTTTTACATACGACGTAAATAAGAAGTATTTACCTTGAGAGGTTCACCTCAAACTAATGAATCAAATGATTTAGAATAATAGCATAAGTGGCTGTATATGTTTTCGAAGATCTATTTATTTTTGTTTAACAATAATATAGTTTTTAATTCGACCAAATTAAAATGTAAAAACTCAATTATACTTTGAGCGAGGTTCTTCTGATTTTATATAAAAAATGAAAATAACAAACGATGTTCGAGTATCTGCATATGTTTTGACGATCTTCACTTTTTGTTTGTTCCGTGGATATGTAATGTTCACGTGTTGCACTTAATTGATTATTGATAACACGCAGTCATTCAACCTATTTAAAAACTACTCGCCGACGTATGTATTGCATTCATTCCTTGAGAAGCTGTTTATTGACCCTTTTCCCAAAAATCAATCTTTGATTGATTTGAAAAAAAAACTTGGGACAGTGGCGGAACAACACACATATGAACAAACGATAAAAATCAGTTGAAAGGGGCTTAATTCATTAGATCGATACAAAGCTCGACAAAAAGACTACAGACAAGACCGATCGGAGAGTACTCCTAGTTACTGAAAGCTAGTTCAAGGCAAATAACATTTTATAAATATATCACTTATATAGGTATCGATAAGATCAGAGACCATTAGTGTTAATAACTGTATAGTAATACATATGCAGTTATGTTATATTTCATTGATAACCGATAACACAATATTTACAGTGTGAAATTGATAACCTTCAACAATAATTTGTTTCAATGGATCGATCTGTTTACTAGGATCGTAACTAAAATAACGTACACTATAAACAACATCACCACAAAAATAAGGATGTGATATCTCAGGTACAGCAAAACTTCAAAACCATATCTTTGTATCTATAAACAGAATTAATTAATATTATCAGTAATTTGTGGTAACGAAATCCTTGGTAATCAGTTAAAACATAGATAACGTGCATTGCAATCTATAAAGTAAAATCGACAGGGAACGAGTTGAGATATATGAACACAGTATGATGTGGCGTGAGTGATTTCACCGTCTGAATAAAGGAAAATCTACAAAACGGAACGGCAATCGTACTTTCGTCGCAAAATTTTAATTGCATTTTCCGTGTAACTGTTAATTACCCATGGTACCAGCTGTATACTTAGAATATTCTTGAGTAATTAATAAACAAATATTATCAAAGGAACGGTCAATAATGTTGAATATATCAATGATATGGGATTACGACGAAACTTTATTGAATTGGCCAAAAATGGTGATTTAGAACAATACAGTAATTAGTCTACTATTACATGGGCGTAATTGGTTTCCATAGGATAACTTTAAACTTGCTGATGAACTGTTTCACCGACACGAATCATGCAACGAACTTCAAAAATAAGAATGAAAGATTACAAGATGATGTAGATAAATTACCGTATGTAAAAACTTAATATTTATCTCCCATTAGCAACTTCCATTTTCATTTGTACTGCATGTACCTCGAAAACCTCAAACTCATACGAAACACTAGTAAAACAGGAGATTTGTTTTTTCCCTAAGGTAAAGAAAACATCCCACAGCATATAGACATGTAAGTACACAGATTTTGTTATATAAAGTAGATACAGATACCTGAAAGGCATATAAAAAACAAACAGAATCACACACAAATAATACACGATTGATAGCATAAACACAGGAACCAGCACGAGCACTGACAAACATGATTAATTTGGTGTTTAACGCCACTTTCAACTATATTGTGCTATTTCGTGGCGGTCAGTTTTTATTTGTGGATGAAGCCGGAGTGCCCGGAGAGAACCACTGACCTTCGGTAGGAAAACTAACAATCCTAGTCATTTAATATTGGACTCGAGTGTACCTGTCCCGTGCGGGAATCGAACTCATAACCTCAATGTTGACAGGCTAGTGATGCAGTAATTCGACTACTTAGAATAAATGGCCACAGAGGCCCTTACACTGACAAACAATCAAAACGGTCTAAAGTCAACCTTGTTTGAACAAAATAATGATCAGGAATAAAAAACGCATGTGCGGAAGGTACCATATAGAACAATTTCATAAACTGATCAGGTCATTTTCTGTCATTTACAATTACTTTCTAACGAATTCAGGTATCTACACATCATTGGCTTAACAATTTGTCAGCGTTCTTATATGATAAATGAAAAGCGCTTAGCAAGCACTATATCTATAATGCGCCAATTTCTATATTTTAAAACTTACTACTGGTATGAAATTTAAATCATGATTTCATCTATAATTTATGCATGCTTTTTATCTAAGTTTCCAATACTATAAATGTGTATGCGAGTTTGTTTATTATGTTCTGATTTTACTTATCTCCTATCCGCTCGCCTTTTTAGCCTTTTTATTTTTTTTATTTTTTTTTGTTTTTTTGCATTTAAATGTTTACCATATCAAAAGGCAGACAATTTATCGAAATTGGCAACATTGATATTTCATGCCAACACAGGAGTACTCACTACTGGATTGTTGAGACCCTCGGGTATCAAACATCTTCCAGCAGTGACATCGACCCAAAGTTTTTAAATAATCATCAAAGATACGAGGTTTATAATTTGTAACGCCGCCCAGACATACGTTTCGTCTACATAAGACTAACCTGTGGCGCCGAATCATAACAGTTGGAAGGCAAACCATAAACGAGGTTGAAGAACATTGCAAACCAAAAAATCCCCCAAAATATGCCAAATACTAGGTCATCTATGCATGTGGTAGAAAATTTCCTTGTAAAGATTAATTTAAAACTTTGTTAGCCAAAACAATACTGAAATTACTTTATCATTGACATGTCATGCCAAGACAGACGTGCTGCCTACTAGGCTGGTAATATCATCGGTGGACAACATGGTAAATTGTTGATTTTGACATATTTTTATAATACACCGGGTCGACAATGTTTTCAAACTTGCAGAAAAAGGAAGTGCAGTTGCTGTGATATTAAAAAAAACTACATTGGAGGAAGGAATCGACATCTATCTAATGCTAATTTGTATACGCTTTTGACATGTGATCCAGCAAAGAAAATCGACAAAAACATAAATGTGGTCCTTATTGAAACAAATAGAAATAAGCAAACAGATGGTGACGCGCACGATTACTGAGGTCCAAATGAAATTTGTACAGCCGGTGTATTTTATTTACTTCCAAAACTCCGTAAAGACTGGACACCTGAAATACCTAAATCGTCCAATAAATTTTTGAATTGTTGAGTACCACCTTATACCACATGTGACACAAATGTCACCTCACATTCAATATACAACGGCCTATTTAAAGAACATAGACTCCTTACATCCCTTACGTAACAATACAGTTTTTGGTTTAGATGGTTGTGTGTTCTTTATACACTGATTTTCCGATTCTGAAAAAAGAAAGACATAATCGAATATCACGGGCTCATGACAACTGATTTTGACCGAAAAATGAATAAGTAGATGATCAAATTAATTACATAAAATTTTCCAAACTGTTTCTTTATTTATAACGTGTTGCTTTTATTTTTTTATATCTAGACAAGCGTTTCGGACGCATGTAATGTAAGGTGTTGTTTTCATTTTTGAAAGCAGTGGGTCGATACTGCTGCTGGTGGACTATTAGCCACAACGGGTTTAATAAGCTTAGTATTCTGTACTTCGGTACTGACATCATTTAATAACAAACATTCCTTAAATTCTCCGATTATAAATTTAGAAATTGTTAAGAAAGCAAGGTTTCATCTTCCTTAGGCAAAGTTGACCTAAATTTGATTTGGCTATAGGTTTTATGTCCTTTTGGTCATATAGCCCAATTTTGAACACTAGCAAAGATTGGAAGAAGTTAGACTGTCACACACAACAATCAACAGATGGCCTTGATGGAATGAAATATACAGGAATATGATTATAAAATAGATAGATTGGAAGAAAGGAATGCGTAATAATTTTCGATTCAAAAAATATTATGTACCTAGTAATTTTTCCATTTATGGTACGATTTGCAAGAAACATCAAGAATACAGTTCATTATTTCAAGCTTAGATATGACTAATAAAAAGAAATGAAAACCACCCTTTATAAATTGCATGCTTACTCGCACTTTTCTTAATTTACCTTCTTCAAGAATGTTCAACACCGAATGTTTAAAAACCAATGATGTATAAGGATCGAAACGCTATATTACATTATTATACCTCAGTATGTTTTTTTCTATATAAAAAAGAATGAAATATTTGTGCTATTTCATTCCACAGACTATTTGCCAGTCAATAGTTTCAAAGACTATTACCCCGGTCAATAGTTTTATTAACATATTTCCCGTACTTTTTCATACTAATTTTTCATTGGACAACAATGACGTCATCGACTATTCTGCTTGGAATTGTGCGCTTGGCAACGTTTAACTCTGAAATATCGTAAACGTTATAATCTGTATGTATCTGTCGTAATTTCAAATTAATATATTACTTTCCAGAAGCAATTGAAAAAAAAAATCTACGCGACATATTTTAAGAACTAAAACATGTAATGTATGGTATTGGTCTGTTGTCGTCTTCATAATCTGGGATTGCTTTGGTGTACGGTAAAATATTTTAGCTAATGTTTATCAGATGCACGGGAATTTTTACACAAGGATTCCTGGTCTTGATTACAGTAAATAGATTATTGACAAATACCACACAGGGAAAAAAACCTGATAGTTCATGTTGTACATGTTTTTGTGATCATTTTTTTTCAAGTGGTGTATGTAGTCTTTTTAGCAAGTTGTTTTGTTCGGTATAATAAAACACTTAATGACTGGTTATGAGGGTAATAGGTGTATAATATTACATAAAGGACCTAAAATAATAGCTAAATCCAACCACTAAATAGCTTCTGACTTCATCAATATACAAAGAAAATTGTCATAACGGAGAAATAAATAATTAGTTTCTTTTTTAGGCAAAGCAGAGAACCTGTTAATATCCCCGTTCCAATTGGAGAATTAAATATTTTAAATGAAGATCATTACGACGAAATATCAAGTGACATAGGAAGTACATACTATCATTCAGTAGAATGGCTTAATTCAATTATAGATAGTGATACTGACAATTCAAGATGCCAATCTTCTACTTCTGAAGGAGCAAGTGCAGACATTAAATCTGTTGATAATGTTTATGAAGGACTTGACATTTTGTTCATTGAACCATCACATCAGTATTCTGATTGTGCAAACATGAAAAGAATAACAATCTAAAAAGTGTTCTATTTTACCATAACAGTTTGAATCGGAAAAAATTAACAATGTGTTTTAAAAATACCACATCGTTCAGTAAAATCATTTTTGTTAATTTCTTCCATTTCTAGCTAAACATGACCCGATAGTATGTAGTAGCTTTTGACATTACCGGATGGTTATAGTCCGTCGTGTTTTCTACTCAGGATCCCCAGGAAAAGACAATACCGTACTTGTGGAGGAAGCCGGTTTACCCGGAAAGAACCACTGAAAATCGGTATGAAAACTGACAATCCTAGTCAATTAAGATTGGAGTAGGTCAAAATGATCTTCAAACAAGAGTTGAAAAAAAAATATATATCGACATAGCATACATGTTTCATCCTGTGTGAATACTAATGTGAACTCTTATTTTTCTATGTTATAATCTTCAAAATTATAACAGATAAGGATAACCAGTGTTTAGGAATATTTATCGGAGAGACAGAAAAAAAAAGGCGCACAATTGAAATTATCAACATAAAACTTAAACATGATAGTTACTTTGTGTTTAGCTTTAACCTTATTCTTTTTAACTTGAAGAATAGGTATAGAGACACTGCACTTAGCTTAGCAAGATGAAATAAAAAGTAAAATACCTTTTGATATCCAATTTGCTCTTTATAGGTCTGGAGTGATTGCCTATAAATCATAGCTGTGACTAAAAGATAGAGAGTAAAATAAGGCAGAACATATAATCTGTTACAGTAGAACAATTATACGAATTAGCCATGTATTCGAATTTCTTGGTTGACTCGTTATACATGCTATTGTCAAATTAAGCATTGTTAAAGTTGTTACTTTTAAATGACATTTGTACGTTTTTGGCTATAGTATTAAATGGGACAGTTATTTCTAAGCATAGCCATTGGTCAGCAAGACAAGGTAAAAAAATGTCCGAAGACCTTATTTTATAATTTTCATATCAACTGTCCATTGACATGAAATGAGTAACTTATTTTGAATTATTTTTTTATTTCATTTGCGACAATGCTGATATATATATTGCTGGTAGAAGTATTATTTATAAATGTATATATTGCCAATGATAATTATATATTAATGTATGAACAATGACCAAAGTGCTTATTATTTTACTTTCAATTTGATTGAAATGATTTTGTAGATGTTACATTTTGTTTTCTTATTTTGTTTTGATTTTGATTATTGATTACTGGTTTATTTCTGTGCAATTTAAATTGTCTAATTTTTTTGTATATATTTTTTTATATGTTCGAAACTTTTAATGTACTGTGTGATACATCCCAATACCAAATCATTACATGTATATTCGCCTTTCGATCCAAGAGAAACAGGTTAACAGATGTTTTGAAATTTTGGGTACTCTATTTAATGTTTATTTTTAGATTACACATGAAAAGGTATCAACAAAAATCGATTGTGTTTTCTTATGACGGAAGTGAAATTATCTAGTATTCAATCCCTAAACTGTGAGAGTAACACACATAACTTACGTGATAGTTGGTACAAAAGCATCTACAAAAATTACACCAGATGGTATTCCAAAACACTGAATGAGTAAAATATTGCACATTTTCTAGGGAAACCAAATCTAAGAGGTACAGCTATAAATCTTTTCCCGCGTCAATTATCATAAAGGTTTACATATCTCAGTTTCTTTTTTTTTTTTTTTTTTGGTCATATACTGAAATTTATAAATCAAATGTCAATTTATGGTAGCAGCCAACCATTATCTGATCACTTTTAGGAATGAATGTAACTGAAACGAAATATGTTAATTACCTCTTAAATCTGGGTTATACTGAAACGTTTATTGTTAATGGACTTCAATATTTTACAATATTTTTGAAATATATATGATAATAAAGAGGTGATACTTCGAATGATTGGTTGTAGAGTATTTAATTGTCAAATTTGTAATACTGTTTACTGTTTCCGTCCGTATTACCATTAGATAATAAATACCCTTCTCAGATTTGGATACATAAGTTAGAGGAAATTGGCTTCAATTAAAAATGGTTTGTTTACCATAGCCCATCCGACCCGATTGAAACCCTCTCGACTGTAAAGTTTTTACAGAAAAAAATCGTGAAGTTTTTTTTCATCATTTTTACGATTTCCGGTTTTTTGGTTCTTTTCCGTATCCGGTGGTCTTTTTCTCTTCCACTTTCGTCCGGTGGCAAAGGCGCTTTGCATGTTAACCTGGAAGCCTGCGTAAACTCGTGGTTACAAGAACTAAACTGATTCGGATGTCATCTGTTTCAATTTCAAATTTTACCAAGACATGGACGCCAACAATAACTTTAACAAGCTGAAACGAAAATTAGCAGCCATTGAGGGCTAACCTGACCCGAAAGAAAAAGTCACATTTTGTTCGAGTATTTTCGTCTTACAAGACAAAATATAATTGCATAAAAAACCGCCAATATCGGCATTATTTGTCCGACACTAGGAAAGATGTTTACAATGAAATAATAGAAGGAGATTCCTTTACAACATGTACAAGTAAACATGGTAAAGGAAGCAATCAGGTCACAGTGGGACTTTGTAAAACAAATAATTTTACAGACACATTCGTGCCAGATACTTTAGAACTAGTGAAAGAGGCCCTAGACTTTGATAAATCCTTAAGATATGTAAAATTTATAGTAAAAAGAGATGACATTGAATCAGATGCATCTACAATTGCAAACAGAAATCAGCCCACTATGAACGTATTTGAAGTCTTAATGACAACTTCAACTGAACAAAATAGAATGGCGAAAAACGTTCTTCTGTCAGGGAAACAGGTATGTTTAAATATATATTTCGCGTAGACTTTCAGTGGTACATGGCAATGAATGCACTTATTTAAAACCTACATATGCAAAACTATTGGTTTTTTTTTGTTATGTCACCAGTTTACACCCTTAGGTCATGCCTTGTCTCTATTTGTCAGAATAATAATGCTAGTAAAAAATCAGCATCAATTCTGACATCTAATACCCTTTTCGTTGTGATAAGTTTTCTTAAATCACTGAAGTACCAATGTCGTAACCTTCTGCGTTGTGTGATAACTCAAGTTTGTTTTGACCATACTAAACTTGAATAAAATTTACGCAATACATTTACACGTGTCAGAGGAAGCCTTCTTTTCATTTTGAAACATTTTCTGTAACGTTTTTTCAGTTTTCTCATTCTCGCATGGAGTTATTAGACTTTGGACAGTGGGACCTTCATTATACCCCATACAACAAAAGTTGCGGAGGATATACTTTTATTGGTCCGTATGTCACCACAAATGACATTATATAGCCAATAAATTATATTGGGGTTATGTCCATAAACAATCATCAAAAACTAGCGACATACTGCAGGGCCATTGAACACTGTTTATCTTGTTTTATGCTGAGGCTGTGAAGTTTCAAAGAGAAATCCTATCAAATAAACACAGAGACATCTCTTTTCATGTGCAACTATTTTCTTCAGTGGGTTGTGTTTAAACTATTTTAATTACTTTTACAAAGTCTTAGTCTTATTCATTTGTATGACCTTCAAAAGGATAGAAGGATATTATTTGTGAACAGTTACTGTGTAAAAATGTTCATTTTGCATTTTCTTCAAATAATCATTGAAAAGCAAATACTGTTGCCACTACCAGAGAGGTTTAATACTTTCAGTACTAGTAGTATTGTCCAGAAATCAATATGTCATATAATGCCCATAAATCAATATCTAATATTTTCATTCAATATGCAATGACTGCATGTCTGTCAGACATATTAAAATTGTATGTCAAGTATAAAATATTTTTAGTCATTTTCATTTTTAAATATTTGTCAGAGGTAAAATGTTTTACTACTCTGAAACTGTTCTTGTAGTTTCTGCTACATGTAGTTTTGTAAAGTTGTATGATTTGCCAGACATGAATGCAAGCCTCGTGAATAATTGATAATAAAGTTCGCAATAAATTTGTTTACACATTAAAATGTCATATTTCATTGCATGGAGGCACTTGTATAAGACACCACAACAATGCTACTAAGTACTATACACAGGAAACATGTATCACACGTTCCTTCGACTTAAACTCTATACTGCAATTTCAGTGCAGTTACTGACAGTTATACAACTAAACAAAGTCAACTTAAAGAACAAAGACAACTCCTTTTACTGAGTTTATTAAAAAGTCCATTATATTTGAAAAAAGAAAAAAAAAAGAAAAAAAGAAACCCGACCTACCGACCCAATCTTTGTTATGGCACACGGGCTATGGCAAATCAACATTTTTTTAAATGTGTCCAAAATAAGGGAAAATTTTGTATAGCTAATTACAGGATCGAACCAAAAAATGTTTAAACCAATCCCTACTCAGGGTTTCTCAGACCGGTGTTAATGTTAATGTAAAAACAACGTTGAAACTGTTGTGAACGTTAACATATCACTTAGAGGCTTTTGTTCCATGTAATAAAAATAATTAATTGCAAGTTAAACACCGGGTATATGCAATACCTTTGTAATAATGTTAATTATCAAACTATAAAGTTTATCACTTTATAAACAACAGGTGGCATTTCTGCATGGCCAAGTTATCTGAGTGGAGAGATAATAGTTACTGTTTGATCTTTATTACCTTACAGGATGTTTACTTATCAGTATGGTCAAAGTACGGACTGTTTTAATTACCAGGATCAAAAGGTGATCGAGAGGATTAATATGTTTCTTGTTTGGTTATTTATTTGTCAATGCTTAAATTTCAAATGAAAGAAAAGGTCAATATTTTAAAAGCAATGTGGCATTTTTCTTTTTATTTAAAAAAATAAATTGGTGTGATTATAATATTTAGGATTTAGGACACAAGTAATAAGGGAATGCACACCCCTGTTTCTAAAGATTTTATATCAGTGGTTTTTGTTGCAGTTTTAAATGCTCTTCGAAATTTTAACTTATTTTATAATTCTATTGCTCTTATATTTCTACGATATAGGTTTTATATCTTATCTTCTAACATGTCTAATAACAAAAACATTATAATATATTTACATATCAAATAGGCCTGTGATTTAGGACACAGACATAGATTACAATTGTATAATATGTCTCTATGGTAAACGTACTGAAAGTTACATGACAGTAAGTAACAAATGTGATAGTACAAAAGTCACACATACTATTTTTTAAGTTTTGTTTGAAAACATAGGAAATCTTTTACAATTTATTTTTGGCTACTTGCATATAGTTATTTCACAATTTATGAAATATTTCAATTAAACCTTGAGTAATGGATAGTCAAATTTTATGCATGAAAAGGATATATTTATTTGCACTATGTAATAATGAAACAATTTAAGTACCAAGTCACTTTGACAAATTGTTATCGTTACAATTATTTTTTCATAATTGATTTTTTTTCAGAATAAATTTTGTTTACAAAAAAAGTTGCCATATATATAAAAGTTCTAGAAAAAAATACAAAATTATTTTGACAAATGTTTTTTTATTCAAAAAAAAAGTAAACTAAAAACTGAAATGTAAATGTTTGTACTGTGACGTTCTATCCTACATTCGTCCGTAGGTAGGACTATGCTCATGATGCTGGGATCTGATATAACGTATAAACTTGAGAATAAACTTATATAAATTTGAATTGCTGGTGTAACTAATGTCCTTCGTAAGTAAGTAAGAGAATTTTATTTTTTTTGTAGCTCAGAAAAACCCACATAGTTTAATTTAACAAATCAACAAGTTACGCCCTCCGTCGTCTTTTGGAAGCACGTGTTCGGAGTGTCCTATTTTGAATGCCGTTTTTCCGCCATGGAAAATAACATGCACGGTTCTACTTCTGCTTCTACCGCCACTTTAGGATGCACATGTTAATATTTTATAGAAAAAAAGGTTGATTTGTGCTTTTGGTTTTTCAATACTTTTCTAATCATAAACATTTGATTAAAATATTTATGAGATTATCAAGCCTCAATAAACGTATATCAATATTCTCAATGTAATAATTGTTACCGATATATGTCAAAACTGTTATTTTACTTAGCAAGCCGTGATCTATTTACATACGATATAACACTCGTATTTGATCAGGGTGACCCTCTGAGCGTCACATCTGTTGGGTATAAGTAGTGAGTTGTAGTGGCGTGTTTTACTAAATTGTTCAGGTGTTCAAATGACAAACTGGCAGTAATTTGCAAATATCTCGATATTTACAAGATAAAATTTTATCGTTTTTTTTTGCATTCTTAAACGTTAATTACGATTTTTAGAAAAAGACAAACATGATTTTAGCATTTTAGTACCTCTTTAACGTTTATTATTATGATTATAATACGTCTAATGACAAATATTTAGGTGTTTAATCCTACATATGTTTTCAATATTCAAAAGCAATTTTCTGAACTCGTTTATATGAAATAAGAAGATAGATGTGGTATGATTGCCAATGAGACAATTTACCACAGTGACCAAAATTTAAATGACGTAGATACTAGGAAAAATAGGTCACCGTACATAATAATCAGCAAATCCAAATAATAAAGTAAGCTTTAAACGGCTTCGATATGAGAAAATGTTAAACAGTTTAATCGAGGAAACCATGTACTTGAGGTAAGTACAAACGGAAAAAAAATATTATAGACAGCAACCAACAAAACCCCCTGAATTAGAGGCTCCAAATTTGAAACCGGTACATATAATATCTGGCGAGTTGCTAGTGCTCACAACACTTTCCGTAACCTGAGCCAGCGGTGTAAAAGATAGACTGATGATACAATGAATTTCCAAATTCATAAGTCGATGAAAAAGTCAAAACGACAATGGAAAAACCGAAAACGAACAAATGACTAACAACAGTATACAAATATAATATAGAAAACTTAAAACTAAGCAACACGAACCCTATCAATAACCGGGAGATTTTAGGTGTTCAATTAGGGGTCAGAAGACCCTGTGTCATATGTATACGTAGTACCCGTGATATAGAAATCAATTGTAGAAATTTTAAAAAAAAGCACTTCATGAATTCCATGCGTATGAAAGTACCTTATCTGTTTGAATAAAAGACAATTAGCACTCTTGAAAAACAGCCTTAAATTTGTCTTTCTTTGAAACGTTCAAAAGTAATGAAAACTAATCCAATGATATATAAAAGTAAGGTGTGGTATGATTTCCAATGAGACAACTCTTCACAAGAGAACAAATGACATAGAAATTAACAAGTATAGATCACCATACGGCCTTCAACAATGAGCAAAACCCATACCACATACTTACCTATAAAAGGCCCCGAAATGACAAATGTAAAACAATTCAAACTAACGGCCTGATTTATGTGCAAAATAATAAACGAAAAACTATGATAAACAGCAACAAACAACAACCACTGACTTACCTCCTGCTGACTTGGGACTGGCACATACACATATTGGCGGGGTTAAACAAGGTTGAAAGCGCAAACCCCCTCCTCTTAATCTTGGACAGTGATGTGACAGTACAACATAAGAACACACTTTAAAAATCTCTTGAAAAGGGCTAAACCTAACAAATCGATGCAAAAGAAAAAAAAAACATCTAACAAAAACAAAGACCGGACATGGCAGGGAACTTATACATCCCCACAACAAAAAAGACACTTAGTACAGATATCATGTATTGATACACAACTCAATTCCTGCGGCCATATAATGGCTTGACGTTGTCGTCGTCGTTCTCTGAGGACATTTGGTTTTCAGACAATACATTGAGTATTACTCTATGGATCTCTATGAAATTGTTCCACAAGGTTCCATATCTAAAAAAGAAGATTTGGATGGATTTTGGGGGTTATGGCCTATACTGTTTATGAATAATGGACCAAAAGGGGATAAAAAATGATTTTCTTTTAATACTTTAAGTATAAATCTATGGATTTTTATGAAATCATAGTAGCAAGATTGTACCACAGGTTCCATACCATTGAAGGGGATCTTCAATATGCCGAATCTAACCGTGAATTTAGATTTTAAATTTTAGGCCCGGTTCTAAAATTGTTCCACACTGAGGTCCAAAGAATCCAAAATAAAACGTTGTTTGATTTAAAAAAAAAATGAATACATATGAATGGGTTCTTTGATATGCTGAATCTAACTGTGTATTTGAATTTAGGATTTTGGGCTCATTTATTAAATTGGTCAACGGTCCAAAATTAAACTTTTTTCATCAAAAATAGAATTGTTGGGGTTCTTAGATATGCAGAAACTAGCCATGTATTTAGATTTTGGATATTGAATTATAATAGGTAGATGTTCAATTTCAAAATTCTTAGATAACTTTCTTTCTGTGTCAGAAAGGTATGATGTGTCAAATATTTAATCACAATCCAAATTCAGAGCTGTATTAGGCTTGAAAGTTGTGTCCATACTTGCCACAAGTCATGAAATTTAAGTTTTATTTAACAGAATGGTACTTTAGGAGATAAACGCTTTTTAGACGTAAAAAGAGTGGATTTATCGAAACTCTCCTGGCTCTATATGTAAAGATTTTAACTCTTGCAACCCGTTTTGCATACATGGTAATGTTTTCCATTCGTTCCGTTCGTCGATATAGTCGGGCGTTTGGTTTCGTTTGGTTTAATGGACTTCCCCTTTTTGTTTCACCTGGCCTTAAATGCCATGTGAACTTAAACCTATACTTGGCGTCTGTTGTCGTCGGTCTGCGTTCGTTGTTGTCGTCCGCCAGTTCGTCATCGATAACAACTTCTATTTTCATGAAATGACATTTCTATCT